CAACATTTGCGAAACGTCGGCATTATGCTGTTAAACCACGCGGCATCCATTCGGAAGCTTTTTGCATTGATAAATAAAAACGGTAGTGATTTAATCAACCAACTCTGGCAAGTTAAGTGATCTTTATTTAATATTCACGACGTTTCAACCATAGGTTTCGGCCCTTATCAAGTGCTACAATATATAATAATAACAATTATTAAAAAGTTAAAAATTAAAAAGTAACAAAGTAACTGTAATAAAACAATAAATATTTCCACACATTAATATGTAAACCTACCTAAAACAACTTTTTTTTTATAAAAAACTTAATTTTTGATCTTAGAATGTGACAAGATATGATGCAAAACAATTAACTATATTATTGTGTCGGTTTCAAGTTCTTTATATACTCATTACTTTAATTAAACTAAACGACCTTTATTAGTTTTTCGTAAACAATATTTAGATTATCCGTGTCTTTTTAAAAATTGATTGTGTTGTCAAATTTTTTGATAAAAAACATCTTCGCGATTTCTCATTTTCGTACATATTTCTTATGATGTAAAATTTCAGGAGCGGACCAATCAAAATCATGACCATTATCCAATTTGTGATTACTAATGACTGAATAATTATTATTGTGTACCTTAATGTTATTAAAATGTTCTTTTATGCGTGTGCCTAATTGTCGTTTAGCTTGACTGATGTATGATGAAGAACAATTTGCGCAGTTAATTTTGTATACTAGTAGTATATGGGCCACTATAGGCCGTCAAAACAAACCCCCATTCCTCGGCCGGCCCCCTGCTGTGTCAGACGGTTTTTTATGGTGTGCCAGACAATGACACCTGTTGTGAGGGTCGGTGACCCAGTTACAGGTGTCAAAACTCAGTCCGGACACGTGGTCCTGCTGTGACAGTTGTCAAAACTCAGTCCGGACACGTGGTCCTGACGTCTGAAGGGGTGTGGGTAGACAGAATTTTTTAATCGGAAATTGGTCTATTTTTATCAGGGGCATTAGTCTTCGGCTCTACCTATACTTGCCGGCACTCTGATTGAGTGATTTTTATTTTGGAAGGATAGAGGAAGAGTAGGAGGGTTTTGGAAAAACCCGACAAAATAGCGAGTCGTGGTATACCGAGGCCACGTGGAGGGCCCCCCTCGTGGATCACCACCTTGGCGTGGTGGGGGGGCTCACCCTTCGCAAGGGAATAGCCTTGCGAGGGGTGCTAAGAGTGGTCCGTACCTTCCGAGGTACACTGCCCCGGTCTGGGGGGCACGCCCTCCGTCTCTGGGGGCTCTCCTTCGGGGGGTGGAAGATTTCCACCCCCTGGGGAGACGGGGCCCACTTCCCCGTTAGAGCTTCGGCTCGTATGTGGTAAGGGATGGCGACCCGGAATTCAAACGCCCGGTGGCATGGCACCGTTAGGAGAAGGGACTGCACGGCGCTTCGGCGCTTCCCTTCCCATCATGCTTTGTGGCCCGACACGTCTGTCGGGTAGGCGGCTTTGCCGCCTGGGGTTTCCCTCTCCTCCGTCCTGGGGGGGGGCTTGTCTTGGGGTTTTTCCCGGGGGAGTTTCCCCTCTGGGAATTGGGGGGGTGGGCTTCGGCGGCGGGGGCCGCTTTGGAGGGTGCCGCGCGCGATTACCCGAGGGGCTTTGCCCGGAGGGGCTCGCGCCGGCGGAGGGATCGACGTGATCACCCAAGGGGCATAGCCCGGAGGGTTTACCCAAGGGGCACTGCCCGGAGGGGACCACGCGGGTCGGCCGTCGAGGCCGCTCGGACATATTCCGAGGCGGGGCTCGACGGCGAGAGGGAAGTCACAGGGTGATGGTCGGAGAGCGTGCTCTCGTCCCAGTGTCCCTGCGACTTGCCATCCTCGGGCCGCTCGGACGTTTCCGAATCCGGGCCGAGGATGGCGGAGAAGGCGCGTTGCAGTTACCCGAGGGGCATAGCCCGGAGGGGTTACTTAAGGAGGATAGCCCGGAGGGTGCCGCGGCCGCCTGCCGCCGGGGCCGCTCGGACGTTTCCGAGGCGGGGCCTGGCGGCGAGAGTAGATATCCCCGGTCGGTCGGGACCGTTTCCCCTTCCGAACCGACCGACCGGGGAGGCGCATACCCCTTCGCCGAAAGCCTTCGGCGAGGGGTAACACGGTAAGCTGGTCGCCACGGCGTGTAGGGCAGGGCCGGGGAGCGGCGACCCTGTCCAAAGCGTCCGTGGGACCCCCGGGTGGCGCCGCCCATCACGGTACCCGCACGGTCGGAGGTGCGGGACCCCTGAAAACCCGTGTGGGCGTCAAATCCCACACGGGTATGTAAGGGGCTCGGGGTCAGGCCAGGATGCGGTATCCCCCCGGCCAATGACGTACGTCCCCTCCCCGGGAAAACTTGGGGCCCGGCCTTGGGGTGTGGCCGGTCATGTTTCGGGGCACCCCTTGGCCGGTGGGGGTATACCCTGGGGGACAGGAGCCGTGATGGGAAAGTGGGAAGAAGAACAAATGGATCTTAATACGACTAATATAAACCAAAACACGGATGGAAATAAGGAAGAGAACGGACCTATGGTCCAAGACAAGAAGGACTCCCCTATTACGCTAGAGGATCTCATATGGACGGGTGAGCCGCTTAAAACGCTCTCGATACCCGTAATACTCTGTGATACGAAGGAAAGCGTAGACTCGAGCCTTTCTGCAACCCTGAACCAGGGAAACAAGAGGAGCCCCACCAGGACAGAACGCGCAGGCAGAGCCCTAGCCCGAGAAAAGAGAAGGGCCGCGAGGACCGAAAGGGCCAAAATATACTCGAGGACGAGAGGAACAACCGACACGGAAAAAGAAGGGGACACTGACGCAGATACGGTAGTGGACACCACAGAAGACACAAACTATGAAAAGGAATACCCCCTCTCCCTACAAAGCCAACAATACAGGCACAACAAGAGGGAGAAACAGGAACGAAGGTGGAAACTCACATCTGAAATTGATGAAGAGCAAGCATTGCCGCAAATGAAGAAACACAATAAACCAGGCCGTCCAATAACAAACGGAAGAGGCAAAGAGATACAGAGAGAAAAAGAGGCCAGGAAAATAGAGAAGGAGGAGCGCCTGGAAAGGGAAATCTTGGATCCCACATACGGACCCCAACCAGGTAAATCCTACAACAAGTTCCTGGAACTGATAAGACGAGTTCTGCCAAAAACCGATCCCCGACCTAGAAGCGATTGCTTCAGAAGGAGCGGCTGCGATATACAAAGTCGCAGTCAACTCTGGGAATATTAAAGGCACGCTGATTAGGCAAGCCAAGGAGGCAGCTGCAGATATGTGCGCGACAACAATCACCCTAGCCATAAGGGCGCAAAACCCGATGGAAACGCCAGTGGAAAAGCAAATTCAGGAACTGCGATACTGGGTGCACCAGCTGTTGATGGGAAAACAACAGTTGGAAAAAGAACTGGAAAAGGAACGCAGCAGGAAATCCCGCAAGAAGCCCCACTGGGATACTTCAGAGGAGGAAAGAGAGGAGACGCTCAGCGCAGACAACGCCAGAGTCAAAACGAGGAGAAGGAGAAGGATTGAAGGGGCCCCACTTCCGCTCAAAAGCAGAAGGGCCCCACCAACCCAAAGAATAGGAATGCTCAGGGAAACCTCACTTCCACCAGTTGGTGGGGAAGTCTCCCTAAACGAGGATGTAGAGATGCGGGGAACCTCACCTCCACCATACGGTGGGGAGATCCCCAGCACCTCTGGATTAAAAAGAAGGAAAAACAACAAGGTAGGAAAGAAAATAAGAAAGGAGGAAAAGATGGAAATAGGATACGAAGAGGATGTCCCAAGACCCACCGAGACATACCCCTCAAATAAACAAGGAGGAAGGGAAAATACATCCCTAAAATCAGGAAACCTGCACATCTCCAAGGGAAACATGGAATACACGATCCCATGGGAAAGTGCAGAAAACGAAGCCAGAGAGAGGGAAGAGAACTCTAACTGGATCGCCAAAATAGAAGGCATCATTGAAAGAGTGCTCGATAAGAGACTAGGATGCCCGATCCCTACCTACGGGGATAAACTTAGAAATAAAACAGAGGCAACATTATCGGGAGGACAACCAAAGGCCGCCAAACCAATAGTGAAGAAGGTGGAAGAAATAAAAAAGGCAGTAAAAATACTGCCCACCACCCTGAACCCACCGGCCCGTGTAGCAACTTCAAGAACCCCTCTACCCAAACTAAAGAGAGAGGGGAACACGAAGGAGAAGAAGGCAACACCCAGGCAAGGTAATAATAGGACGCAAAAAGAGGGGCAACCCCAAATATCGAGAAAAGTGGAGAAACCACAAATCCCGAACAGAGCGGACGAGCAACAGAAAGACACCACCACATGGAGCGAGGTGGTGTCGAGAAGAAAGAAAAGAACGGAAACCACAATTACGAAGAAGACGGAGGCTGTAGAGGCAAAGAAAGGAGCGGATAAAAGAGTGACAAACCCTGCTCTCTCTAAACCCAATATACAGCCAAAAACAAATGGCAAAAAGAAGGAGCCCAAGAGAGCGGCTGTCACCATTACGTGCCCCCCCCCCGGTACATACGAGGAAATCCTCCGAGAGGCACGAATGAAAACGGACACAAAGGGCCTGGGAATCGAAGGAGCCAGAATTAGAAGAGGAGTAACTGGCTCCTACATCTTTGAAATTCCCGGGCCCGACGGCAACGAAAGGGCCGATAGAATCGCTCTAGGACTGAGGATGGCACTGGCAGGTAAAGAGGGCGTGAGAGTGCAGCGCTCAACCAAGATGGCGGAGCTCAGACTTCGGGGGCTGGATGAGTCAATACAGACCCCCGAAGTCAGAGAGGCAGTGGCCAGAGCTGGCAGCTGTGAAGAGGAGGACGTACACACCGGGGAAATAAGAAAGACCCCCGGTGGTATGGGAATTGTGTGGGTTTGCTGCCCACTAAAGGCAGCGAACCACATAATGAAATCGGGATCTGTAAGGATCGGATGAGCAATCGCGCGCGCGGAGATGCTGGAGGCCAGACCCCTCCAGTGTTACAAATGTTTGGAAGGGGGCCACGTGCGCGCGAGATGCCCCAACAACACGGACCGCAGCGGCAGATGTTACCGCTGCGGAGAGAAGGGACACGCGGCACGGAACTGCACAGCCGACGTGAAGTGCCCGGTGTGCGCGGACAAGGGACTGCCCGCAAATCACAGAGCGGGCGGCAAAGCGTGCACACCGGTGCACAAAGGAAAAAGGGGTGTTCCGCTTAACAAAGTGATGGAGCACCCCAGAGGAACAGCCCAAATGACCGTTCCAGTTGCCCCCCTTATGAGCCTCGAGGAGCTCAAGGAACAAAGGGCTCTTCGCTCCAGAACAAGGGGGGAGAAGAGGGAAGAGGAGAAGCTCCCAATGAAAGGAGGGAGAAAAAAGAAGAGGTTGCAAGAGGACCTGAAGGAAGGAAACCCCGCTGCGATGGACACAACGGGGCCCGCGGAAGCAGCAGCAAGAGAAGATGGCCTGTAATGTACTACAGGCCAATGTAAACCATTCAGGGTCGGCTCAGAACCTCTTCGTACACACAATGGCGGAGAGGGACTGTGGCCTGGGGATTGTAGTGGAGCCGCACCGCGTGTCAGATAACTGGATAGGCAGTGCGGACGGCTCTACCGCGATCGCCCAAAGGAGCGCGTCTAACTCTCCCCCGACAGAACCATTAAGGTCGGGGGAGGGCACAGTAACAGTAAGATGGGGGTCCACCATCGTTATTGGCGTGTATCTCCCGCCGAGTCTTAGTAGAGAAGACTTTTGCGGGAGACTACACGCCATAGAGGGACAGATTGCAGAGTACCACCCCGCCCCAATAGTCGTCGCCGGGGACTTCAACGCCAAATCAGGCGTTTGGGGCTCCCCGCGCGATGACTGGCGGGGTGGTCAAGTTCTGGATTGGGCGGCGCGGTGTGGGCTCCTCCCCTGCAACAGGGGGAGTAGGTCCACATAAATCATAGATCTGACTTGGGGCACTCCCTCTGCCTCGAGGCTGGTGAGCGGATGGGAGGTGCTGGCGGAGACGGAAACAATATCAGACCACAGATATATAGAGTTCTCCGTCAGCGCCTTCCCCCGCGAGGTAATAGAGCGCCGCCGCGAGAAAGAATCTGTCTCTCGAAGGTGGACCCTAAAGAAGTTAGATCAGGACGCGTTCCTGGCCGCAGTCGAGGCGGCTCTGATGGTTAGAGGAAAGAAAGAAGGGGGGTTCAACAACAAGAGGAGGAAATGGCATGGCTGCTACAAACTATTAGAAACGCATGTAACGCAGCCATGCCCAGAAAGAAAAGGAAACCCCCCCGAAAAGCTTATTGGTGGTCGGAGGAGATCGCAGAGGCAAGGCGCTCCTCCGACCAAGCAAGAAGGTTGGTCAGGAGAAGGAAAAGACTCGAGCAGTCAGACCCCGAAAGATATCGGGACGCGTGGGACATCTACAAAGAAAAGCGAGATGACCTACGCGTCCTGATAAGGAAAGCAAAGGCGAGAGCCTGGGAGGAGCTGCTCTCCTTTCTGGACGAGGACCCGTGAGGGCGCCCATATCGCATTGTTTTGAAAAAACTGAAAGGAGGAAGCGCCCCTACTACGGAGTCCTTGGACCCCCAATTTGTTAGCTGAGTCATCGAAACCCTGTTCCCGCGGGAGGAGGGTCCAAGCGACCCAATTCCTGAGCGGCGGTGGGAGTGGGACGAGGAGGCTATGGGAGTCACAGAGGGAGAGCTCCGGGACGCCATCAGGAAAATAAAACCCGGAAAAGCCCCGGGTCTTGATGGCGTCCACGGGAGAATATAAGCTCTCGCCTATCAGGGTCTAGCTGGACCCATGCGGAGGATGTATAACAAATGCCTCCGCATGGGTCGTTTCCCACGAGAGTGGAAGGAGGCAAGAGTAGTCCTCCTTCCCAAAGAGGGCAAGCCGAGGGATGCTCCCTCGGCGTATAGGCCAATATGCCTGATAGACGAGGCGGGTAAAATTCTTGAAAGAATAATAGTGGACCGCCTCGTCTACCACTTGTCCCGGGAAGGACCAGATCTGAGCCGGGATCAATACGACTTCCGGGTCGGACGATCCACGATAGATGCATTTCTTCGGGTTCGTTCGATTTCGGGAGCCGTAACGGAGGAAGGCGGGGTGTTGATGGCGGTATCGTTGGATATATCCAACGCCTTCAACACCCTTCCATGGCACCGGATAGGGGCGGCCCTAAATCACCACGGGGTCCCCCAATATCTGGTGTCAATCCTGGCGGATTATTTCCGGGACAGGCAACTGGCCTATACAGACAGAAATGCCGAAGAACAAAGGCGTCAGATGACATGCGGGGTTCCACAGGGATCGGTACTCGGACCCCTGCTGTGGAACCTTGCCTATGACGCCGTTTTTCGGCAGGCCCTCCCCCTGGCTGTCACACCGTGTGCTATGCGGACGACATACTGGTGATGGCCGGGGGGAACTCGTGGGAAGAAGCGACCGCTCGAGCAAACTTAGCGGTGAACCGTGTCGTGCGCTTGGTGAGACAGATGGGTCTCAAGGTGCCGCCCCAAAAAACCGAGGCCATCTTTCTTCACGATGGCTCTCATGGGGCGCCGCCGAGAGCCCACATCTATGTGGAGGACACCCCGGTTGAGGTGAGGGCCTGTTTAAAATATCTGGGCCTTCACCTTGACAGCAAGTGGACCTTCAAGGAACACTTCCGCCAAATCTCCCCCAAGGTGGAACGGGCAGCTATGGCTTTCCAACGTCTGCTGCCCAACCTCGGGGGACCGGGCGGAGGTGTCAGAAGGTTGTACGCCGGAACAATTCACGCCATGCTCCTGTACGGGGCCCCAGTTTGAGTAGAAAAACTGGAGGCCGCCCGCGGCCCGAGGAATGCACTCAGACAGGTGCAAAAGCGGGTGGCCAACAGGATCTGCAAAAGCTACCGTACGGTGAGCTGAGCGGCGGCGGGGGTACTCTCAGGGATGCCCCCGGTGGAGATGCTCGCCCGCATGTATGCAGACGAGTACAAACGTACACAGGAGTATCAGCGGGCGGGCGTCGCAGTAACGGAGGGACTCGGCGTACATTGAGGGTCCACACCCGACGGGCGCTGATCCAAAAATGGAAGGACAGCCTGGCAGACCCGACATTGCCGGGCCAGCGCACCATCGGGGCTATACGGCCAATTGGCTAGACAGGGCCAAAGGAGGGGTGTCATTCCACATGACACAGGTACTCACCGGACATGGCTGTTTCGGTGAGTACCTGAAACGGATCGGTAAAGAGCGCACGATACGGTGTCACCACTGCGGTCACGAGCGCGATATCGCCCAGCACACTCTAGCGGAATGCGTTGCATGGGCGGGGGAAAGCTCGTGACCGCGGCGGGAAGGGACCTGTCATTGCCCTCAATAGTAAGGACAATGACAGGAAATGAGGAAATATGGAAGGCGTTCTCCTTCTTCTGCAGCAAAGTCATGCTGCAGAAAGAGGAGGCGGAAAGGGAGAGAGAGAGAAAAGGAGAAGAGAGAGAGGGAGAAGAAGAGGAGGGCGGGGACGTCCCTCCTCTCTCCCCGACATCGGCGGGCCCGCCCGTTAATGGTGTCGGGGATTGGGGGGCGCCCCAGGCAGACGAGGGGGAGGAAGAAGAAGAAGGAGGAGTATCGCAGATGGAAGGGGTGTCTCCCCTCCTCCCCCTCCACCCTCGGCGGGCTTACCCGCCAGGGGTGGCGGGGGTCGGGGGGGATGCGACCTCAGAAGGGGACGGAGAATGGTGGACACGGGAGGCGGGGCCGGGCCCTCTCTTTCCGCGCCGTCGACGAGCTCGCTCGTTTGTGGCGGCGTGGAGCGGGGAGGGTCCGTCCCAAACATACCTGCGTCGAATATAGACGCAGGATGAGGCTTCGGGGGGGGGGGCTGGGGACAACTAAGTCCCGAGGATCCCCCCCTGGAGCCTCACGAGAACCGGGGGCGCGGACGCATCACCCCACGGGGGGTGCGTCTACGCGCCCGGCAGGGAAATCCCCTCGGTTGCGGCCAAATCTCAACTCCTAAGGGAGCGGAGGGAGCCGCAGCCGGGGGGACCAAGGGGGGGCCACGTGTCCCGGGCGGGTGGGCATTGCCCGCCTGCTGGGGGCGCTTGGGTTCCTCTCAATGACGACGACGTGACGCGTGGGGCCCTCTCACCGGGAGCCATGAGACACCGGTGGGAGGGCAACACCGTCCACGGAAGGGGGCTCCCCTAGTGGAACGCCGAACCGGATCACCCTTTAGGGGGCCCGGGGGATGCGACCACCGGGGAGGCGGGGGGCGATGGCTCGAGCGGGAGTTCTCGAGCCATGGCCCCGCCCCCCAAACTCTTTGGGAGGGTGCGGCGCGAGGCCGGTGTTCGCCCTGCGCCGTAACCGCGAAGGAACCGCACAGTCATTGACTGTACGGTCGGGGAGGGGTCTCGGTCGCAAGGCCGAGTCAGCTCCCCGGAGACGGCTTGGCGGGGGGGCGGCGAGTTGGCATGGGATACCAGCATCCTCGCAGTCCCCTATCCAACGCCCGAGCAGAACACCCGCTGGGGTTTTAGTGAGGTAGGTCTTGGGCCCCCTGGTCGAACCATCCGTGGCTCGATCAAGGGGAACAAGGAGTCCCACATAACCCGCACCCCTACCCGGGGGTGCGTGATACCATGACGGTTTCCCCAGCGTCACAAAAAAAAAAAAGAAGCCACGTGGAGGGCGACTACGCAGCTCGCTCTTCGAACTCTCTTACGCGAGGAAAAGAGGAAGGGTCGTCGGAGTGACAGCGATGAAAAAGATTAGCAAAAAAAAATACAGACTCGCACTGCTAGCTTACTAGGCGTAACAAAGAAAACAAAGGAAACGAAGAAAACAAGATATACAAAAATTACAAATGCATCTTCTAACGTCTGACCGCGATTTTGCTTGCTGTATACGCGATATCGAGTGTTGAAAAAATAAAATAAAATTATTTCCGATATACAGGGACAGGATAGAGAAAAAAATATATTGAACAATTTGAAGTAAAAGAGATCGAATTTTTATTTTGCTATGAGGTAAAGGATAGAAAATGTAGGAAAAATATAAAATATAAAATATTAAGTAAAAAGTTTCACACAAAGTTTATTATTATTACTAATTCAGGATGTTACATAAAAGTTAAAAGCGTTACATAGAAATATGTTATTAAAAAATTATTGAATTGAATATGTTTTGGAAGCGTTTTTGCGACTATCGCTCGCCTCGACTTATTGTCTGCGCGAGCGAGCACACAGCTGATCAACCAAAAAAAACTATATACATAAACACGGCTTGTTATTGCCCACGCTCTGATTTCGTGTTATTTCCCTTTTTTTTCTCCGAAACCGGCGGGTTCCTGCGATCCGACGGTCGATTCCGAGTAAGTCTGCGCTCAGCCGTCTAAGCGACCACAAGTCAGTGATACTCTATCGAAACAGTTTTCGCTCTGTATTCTCCGAAAAGTGCGTCCACCGAATACCTTCGAGTTTGCGGATCTTTGCGCTGTAGCAATTTCAACCCGCTCCCGTTGAAAGAAGGACGAGCGAAAGACTACCAGACCAGAGGAACGACACTATAATTATTATTTAATTAATAAAATTAAAGGGAGCCTGCGAAAACCAACCCGGCTATCGTTAATCTTCCTTAACATTCCTTGCCCACCGATCGTTCAATAAACGATTAAAACCACACAGAATATAATATTAAAATTAGAAATTACGTTTTTATTTTAACGGAAAAAATATAAAAAATGTACATAAAATTTATTTTTCTTATTACATATTACAGACTCATGTTCTTACTATTATTAACGCTACTATATTACAAAATTTTACACAAAAAATATTTCCTAATACGCGTATAAAATATTTGTACAAAATGCGAGAGAAAATACAGGAGAAAAAGAATATATTTTTATAATAAATATCCATACGGGTATGAATATCTGTTATTGATAAATCTACGTTTCACTAATACCGGTGCGCATTATTTCGTTTCGTCCCGCGTTAGAATTTCATGAAACGCAGTACGACGAATGGCGTTGAAACGCAGATTTATCGATTGTCTCATCTTTTTTTTCTTCGTTATCCTCGTTTTCTCGTGTTTTTTTTTTCTCGCTAATATCAATTTTTTGATACTATTAAAATTAACACGCCGCGAGTTTTCGTAATTGAGAGTTATACCTTTAACTTTGCAAGTTTTGTATATAACTCCGTCGGGTGTTCGCACAATGTAGGCGTAAAATTTCGGACCGCCGGACACGAATTTATCGATGTAACTACCGCGGCCGTAGCTCTCGAGTTCATCGATCATGTCGCCTAAAAAATTATCGGTACGAGGTTCATATTCATTCGGTTCGCCGGTGCTCACATAAATGCGAGAATCGATATCGTAATATAATACATGACGGTCTAAACGCTCTAGATAATCATATAATTTTAGCCGCGCTTGTGCAGTCGTGTATGCGGCTATCACAACATTAATTATCGGTGAGGGTACGACGGCCTCGTGTCTCAATCGCTACGAAACATACATTGCCTCGTCGTTTATCGGCAATATATCGATTATCTCGTGCTCGGGACTTGTTAATAATAACATAAAACGTCGATGCGACTTAACAATTTCGGTATTTGACAAATTGGATCGTTGGCCGAATTTTCCCCAAAACGAATTTAAGCAGAGCTTAGCAACCGAATGTAAACCGGGATTTTGCGAGATGTTACGCTTATCGAGAACAATACCTTCGATTTTCTCGTACTCGCGCAGGTATTGCTCTTTAGCATCATCGTCCGCGCATTCACTTGGCCATCCGCTTGCCTCCTGTTTAAGTTGTAAAAACGAGTTTATATATTCGGCGAACAATCCACCCTGCCGTGTTTCGCGATTATATCGACTAATTTTATATTGCCAAATTTCATTTACTTTAGTCACGAGATAACCTTTTTCGACGGCCTTGCGTAATTCGCAACTCACCCACGTACCCTCGAATTCCCGTTTGCTAGGCTCATGCGTACACTCCGTTTGCGAAAATGTTTCACAGCAACTACGACACAGTGCGAATAATAATTTTCCGTGCGCGCGATACGGGAGTACCGGATAAAATAAATCGCGCGGAGGTAGTATCGTACAGCGTACAAAATCTTCGACGGTGTCAAAATTATAATTCGAAGCCGTACCGATTAAAGTTGAACATTCATCACCGATATAAATGTCGGGATGACCGATAGGGAAAGCACCCGTCTTCAATACATATGAATATAACGAACATACGTCTACGTAGCGTATTTTCTCTGCATCTGTGATTTTACAAAGAGTCGCGATATTTCCCGTGCGTCCACCGAAAAATGCGTTGCGAGGATCGAGCGATGCTGTTTTCACCATCGGATGACTTTCAAGAAATTCGCGCATCTCACGATTATCCCGCATTTCTCGATCAAAGCTACACTCCCACTTTTCCGTCAGCGTGTACCCCTACTGCCGAAATCGCTACGAGATTGCGAGAGTTTGCTCGTATCGCGAGTTAATCGTATCTCTACGTTCCTCAGCCGATGAAAGTGGTCTATTGCGATTTATCGGAAAGCACGACGTACATCCGTACCAAAAGCAATCGTGGCATTGCAACACGTGACGCGACGTTACTCCCATTTCCGATGTTTCTTTATAATAACCATCGACGAGTGTGCCGTCGATCGTACGGTATTTGCGCGCACGCCCTGCGTGGTTTATAGGATGACCGAGCTCGCGCTCCTTCCATACCAACCACTGTAGAGCTTTGCGCGAATGTATGTTAGTTTTTCTGTATCCGCCCGCTGGAATGACGCCTATCG